CTGTGTGAGCACTGCTCGGAGTCCATGTGAGACTCTTGTGAACTCTGACACACTGGGGTTTGGTTCCTAACCTCTTTTGGATTATTTCTGAGCATTTGGTCCTCTAGTATGAGCATTGCCCTGGGTCCTTGAAGCCCTTGGGAACTTTGACACTCTAGAGATCTGGATACTATGTGTGATCATTCTGTACCCGTGAAAGTGAGCCTTGGAGCTGCTGTAGTTTGAAGGCCAGGGTTGCTCCTGTGTATTTGGGCCTGTTGTAGGCTCTCTATAGCATATTTCATTATTATGTAATCCATTCATTAATCTGGTTTGTAATAATTTTGTAACAAACAACTTTGGGGTATTTAGTAAAATCGGGGAGGGTTTTTTATTTTCATTTGCTAAATTGGGTAGAAATCCTGCCTATAAGATCTCATTGGTGTTGTTTCATATCATGCTTATAAGTCCTATGTTATGTCCACATAATAGAGATCCTGCCTATAGGATTGACATTATGATTTGTTGAGAATCCTGTATTTATGTGTATCAATCTGTCCAATAAGCGTGTGTTAGCAATCATGTCTACAGGATTAAAGTCAGTTCAATGATAGAAGTCATATCTATAAGATTAAAACCAATTCAAACCTAGAAACCAGGCCTATAGGGTAATAATCATCACACACGTAGAAGCCATGCCTATATGATTCTATTAACTAATTCGGAATTCGATTATCACTGTCAATCGCTTAGACAACATGCCTATAGGATTGAACAACAATTCCGGACTTATGATTGTGATTTACTGTCATTCATTAACGTCTGAAACGCCCAGAATATTGTACTAAATTAAAATCACTAGGCAAATACACGCATGCCCTAACACTCGCATTAAGAACTGAATCTACATACTACTGCTCGCCTGTTCATCACATAGATATCCTGCCCATAGGACTCCAAGATTAATAAAGCTTGTTAAATCAGTTGTGTGCATTTGTTATTTACATGCGGAGGTTAATGTGAGCCCATATCTGTCTTTATTTGAAGAGTCCTAATTGTTTTGCTTGTCGCCTAGTATTTTACAGTTTTGAGAACCTTAGGCCCAGTCTAGAACCTTCCCAAATAGTAGGTCCAAAGCCTTCTGGACCATAGACATGGTACGGGTAATGCACTCATAGGACACGACTTAGAATTGACTAGTACGCTTCAGGTAAACAACTTAAAGATAGTAATTGGGTAGCATGAGATGATAGTTTGTGCCCGGTGAATAATATGAGTAACACCCCATCCCGAGAGAGTTATGAAGTATTATTTATGTTGCACGGGTTGATCCTTTAGGCTAAAAAATTTAGGATCCCCCCCCCCCTCCTTGTCTTTCAATCGATTATTCATATTTTGGTAATTCCTTACTTCATAGCTTTGATTACATAGACTAATTCGCATAATTCAAGTTCGGACAGGACCCACCGTTGTGGACCTCGAGGGGTGCCTAACACCTTTCCGTCAAGGTAATTTGAGCCCTTACCCGATCTCTGGTGATGCAAATTAGTATAATCTGAGTTATTAGGTGCCCTAACGCACCTTAATCCGTTAGGTGACGACTCTAACAACCAATTCATTTTCCCTACTCTCCCAAAAGGAGTTGTCAAAATGTCGAAACCCGATTTCGCGAGAAAAAGGGGGAGCGACACCTCCGCTGCCATTCGTCTGGCACGGCCGGTAGCAACATCCTCTCCTTTTGAAACCTGGTTACGAACTCCTGCAGCATTTTAGACTCTCCTTGTGCAATTCTTAACAAGTCTGCCTTTCGTGCTTGTACCTTCCTGGCCCCGGCATGGGCCTTGATAAAAGAATCCGCGGGCATCTCGAAGGAATCTACTGAGTGCTTGGGAAAAAGTGAATACCCTATCAGGGCCCCTTTTGTGAGGGTCTTCCGGAACTTCTTCAACAAGACTGATTCAATCTCATGCGGAGCTAAGTCATTTTTTTTTCACCGTCGTTGTATAGGTGGTGAAGTGCTCCTGAGGATCCGAAGTCCCATCATATTTTGGCACGTCCGGCATTTTGAACCGCTTTGGGATCAACTCCGGTGCCGCGCTTGGTTTGAACGACAATTGGGTGTACTTCTTTGAGTCCGGTCATTTCAACACTGGCGGTGCGCCTGAGAATTGATCCATTCGAGCGTTTATTTCCCTCATAAACCACATGAGTTTGGTTTTAAAAGGATCATTCTCGTTGTTGTTACCGGATCTGCCGGTGTTTCCCCCGACTCTGTCGAAACCGACCTCACCCCTTGGGGTGTTGTTATCAACCCTTTGTGCTGTTTGATTTGCGGGAGCACCGGGAGGAACTGGACCTTTACCATTTGCATTGTTAGAAGCACCCGACAACGCTTACTTCAACTCCGTCATGACCTGATCTTGTCGTAGGAGATGACCCATAGTAGCTCTTTGTTGCTTCCTTAAGATTCTCACTGTTTCCACAACGTTCTCGTCTTCAGCATCATCAGGAGTTTCCTCTCGAACATTATGCGGATACTGTCCTCCATGGATCGGCGTGGCTACGCCCTCCTCGCTGCAGATATCACTGATCGAATCTTTGTGTTGAGGCTGATTTCCTTGTGCCTCAATGTTGTGCGTGATGTTGACATCGTTATCTGCCATTTTTATGATTTTTCGCTAAGAAACAAAGTATTTAAACAGGTTAGTACTAGATGCAAGGATCAACCCAATTACGCAACTGTCTAAGCCCTACGATGGGCGCCAAACTGTTTACCCGTAAAATGATATAGTTGAATTTATACGTGGTTTATAGACAAGCGAACCGATTTAATCCGAAAATAATAAATAAATAAAATAAAAATATAAGACTTAGCATTGAAATCGAGATAAGATAGCAGATAGCTTGGTTCCGGAAACAAGGCTTCCGAAGGCAACAGTGATACCAATAAACAAGGAATAAAGTGTTATTGAGCTTAGAATAATGTGCAGCATAAGTTTGTGAGAAAATTCATCTCCTTACAATAGCTGTTGAAATCACTATTTATAGCTGCACCTAGAGAACAAGGTCGTATGATCAAGCCCTCTTAAATCAATAATGGGGTCATTGAAGAATGTGTAACAGCAGGCTATGAATGTCATATTCTCTATAACGGACTATGTATTTAATACTGCAAAATATTCTTCATTGAATGCTACCGGTGGCAAGAGTTCATTTATCTTCATGAGCAATATTCCCTTCAGTGGCTTTGGTCCTAACCGAGACTGCTGCACCTGGTCTTGATTTTTATGTGTCTCATTTTTTATCTGTTCTCGGTTCCACGTATCGCTCTATTATACGAGTATTTAATATGAAGAGTTTTTAATCTATACAGGCGGTATATGCAATTTATAGATGGAGAAGTTTATGGTCTTAAAATATAAAGCCAAAACTTTAGAGCGGTACAAAAAGTACCTCATGACATCTGAAGGCGAACGGAAAAAAGTACCTTATGCATCTTGCAGGCGTTTATTCCTTATGCACGGGACGAAGCTATATGTTTTGAAGAGTGGTCAACTGATAATTCTTTTCGGAAAATTACATTGTGTATTTATGTAAAATATTAGATTTTAGAGGTATATATCATATATTAACCACTCTTTGTCGAAGAAATTTTTTTATTTCTTTCAATTTTGAACACCCTTGAGTAAATTTCTGATTTCGCCACGGCTTATGCATATAATGTAAAATGGCTAATTTGCATGTTACTAATCCCCCAAAAAAGATTATGACTTAGTGCTGATTGTTGATAAAGAGAAAAAAGAATGAAAACGAGAGTATTAAGAGTTTTGCCAAATCACTTGGTGGGTTTTGCAAGAGAATGTAAAGGTGAAAAATCAAGTAATATTGGAAAAGTAAATTTGTAAGAAGTAGGTAAAAAAATTGAAGAATATACGGAGTACTATCTTAAAGATCATTACAAAAGAGGCGGCGTGTGGCGAATGACGTGTCTTGTCGACAAGCCAAAGCCACTCTGGAAAATGGGAATTCGTTCATTCATAGGCAAGGGACCTCTCTCTCTCTCACTCTCAATAATGAATCCCATCCTTTCCGTAAGCTTCTTTTTCTCCTGTCTTCCGTCCAAGGAATTGCGTGCTCCCTCTGCATTCTATTATTTCCATCACTATTCACATCACCCACCCTCCCCCCTCTCTCCTTCCGCCGGGTCCTCACGAATAATTACATTTAACTATTACTTCCTCGTGTTTGATTAGGCATCAAATTTAGAATATTGCAAACATGCTTTATAATAATTGTAGTAGAAAAAAATAAAATAAAACAATAGTAGTTCAAAAGTAAAATGTATCATCTAGTGGTGAAAGTGTGATCTAATGATCGATGAAACAGAAATGAAAATTATGAAAAACTATGGTGCAATTCTTTTCTTTGTATAATAGCCTCTTTGGTCATACTTCTAAAATTAGCTTATTTTAAAAAGTATTTTTTTTCAAAAGTATTTTCACAAAAATACTTTGATAAGAAGCAGTTTGTGTTTAGCTAATTAATTTAAAAATCACTTCTGAGCAGCAATTAGTGTTTGACCACGTTTTTAAAAATTATATTTAAGTGTATTTTTCTTAAAGGTATTTTCCAAAAAAGTATTTATAGGGAGAATCTACTTTTTCTGCTTGTCTAAACTGCTTCGATTTTGGAAAAAGATACTTTAAAAAATAAAAAAATTTACTTTGAAAAAACTTGGCCAAACAAGTTATAAGTGCACTGGTTGTATTTCCGCAAATTCGTCCAATTGCCACAGTTATCAAAAATATAATTAAAAAGTAAACTTAATAGACAAAAATAATACTATATCAAAGTCTAAAATTTACTTTGGAAAGAAGTTTTAAATTTTGTAGATTTTGAATAGTGTAGTGTAAATTATTAGAAAAACAATATCGATTTTGTTGTTGTATAATTAAGACAAAAAGGATAATCTCTAAACAGGAAAGCACAACTTGTACTATTTTTCTTTTTTTCTGGGTACAGACTTTTCTGAACAGAAATTTAACATATCTAACACATTTTCTCCCCCAAATTTTTACCAAAAGGTTCCTTTAACGTGTAGTCTTCTCCAATTCCAGAAAGAATCTTTCAATCTCACAACTTTATATAAATATACTCTTTCTAAATCCTTAAAATAAAAAGTACTTCACCCTCCCCTTTTGACTTTTCCTTTCTTCATCTTCTTCTTCATCATCTCCTATTTTTCTTCTTTTTCTTTCTTCTGTGTGTTGATTTTAGTTTGTATATATATATATTTTTCTGAAGAATTTTTGAATGGAATTAACGTGTTCTTCTCCACTTTCTGTGAACTCAACAATCAGCTTCAATCCTCAGCTTCGTCGCTATGTTTCTGCTTACCCTCACAAGAGATGTCAAACCGTGTTTTCGCTTTTCCCATATTGCCCTTCTTCCTCCTCTCATATTACTACCGCCACTACCGCTGCTTGTAGTACTAGCAGTTCTACTTCGTCCCTTTTTGGGATTTCACTTTCTCAGAGACCCTGCAGCTTAATTCCTCCTAAAATCAAGCGCTCTTTGTATATTGTCTCTGGAGTGTTCGAGAGATTTACTGAGAGATCGATCAAAGCTGTGATGTTTTCTCAGAAGGAAGCAAAGGCTTTGGGCAAAGATATGGTGTATACACAGCATCTTTTACTGGGTCTGATCGCGGAGGATCGTAGCCCTGGTGGATTCCTTGGTTCTCGAATAACTATTGATAAAGCCCGCGAAGCTGTTCGGAGTATATGGCATGACGACGTGGAGGATGATAAAGCAAATTTGGCTTCTCAGGACTCCGGTTCTGCTACGTCGGCTACTGATGTAGCGTTTTCTTCAAGTACGAAGCGCGTTTTTGAGGCTGCGGTTGAGTATTCAAGGACCATGGGGCATAATTTTATTGCACCCGAGCATATGGCCTTTGGTTTGTTTACTGTTGATGATGGTAACGCCACTCGTGTGCTCAAGAGGTATTACAGATAGTCAAGAAAGCTTCTTTTTTTCTTTCCATTTTTTGGCAAGTGTTTTGTTTTCAGTATAGGAACTGCTGGTTTTTTTGGTAGAGCAAGCAAGTAGTTAGAGACAGATCCACGATTTGAATATGCGTTCCCAAGCCCATTCTTGGTTTGAAATCTATTAGTACTACTTATTTGGTGCATATTTTAACATACATACAAGTTTGAGCCAAAGTTAATGGGTTTAGATGAACCTTTAACTCAAGCACTACATCTGCCTCTAGTAGTGGATGATGAGGATATTAAGAACAAAAGTAATAGGCTTTTGGTAAGCTGAAACAATCTTGGGATCATGAATAGATTAGCTAATGTTGCTTATTTTGAGTCCAAAACAGCTTCTACAATTGAGGAGGAATGAGATGTTGTCTCCCACTGTTGCTAGGAAGCAATGAACTTATTGGTAGAAGTTATCCTTCACTCGTTTATCCTTGCTTGCCATATTTTACATTTCCATTTAGTGTTGTTTTCCCTCTCAAGCGTATACAAAATACCAAGAGATATTTTGGTTTGCCAAGGGTCTAGCGGAAACAGTTCCTCAGCCCTTCCAGGATAGGGGTAAGGCTACTTACATCTTACCCTCTGTGGGAATACATTGGATTGTTGTTGTTGTTTTTGTTGTTGTTACCTAATATTCTGTTCTTAACTTATGAATAGTATCTGCCTCTTTTTCTTTTTGGTGTCTTCTTGTGTTGTGTACATGTATGTACATATTCTTTTTCAAGTTGTACGCCTGACAACCGTAGCTTAATATTTTGACCTCCTGTTGATAAGCAATTTCTGTTTCTGATGGAGCTCTATGCATGAGCACATGTTGTGCTCTAAACCAAGCATACTGATGTACTTGTTAATAAATAAACAAATGCTCACGAATTTCCTTTTTGCTGCATAATTTATCTTACAATGCCTACTGGTTTGGGAATAGTATCCTTCTTCACCTTCCTGATTGAGTTTAATATGCCTTCTCTCTTGCAATATGTTATCTCTCTGTCATCTATTACACGCCATTTATATAAGAAATTAAGAATTGCATGGTCGACTGACCTAATTTCAGGTTAGGAGTAAATGTAAATCGTTTGGCAGCTGAGGCAGTTTCCAGGCTTCAAGGAGAGCTTGCTAAAGATGGTAGAGAGCCAATTTCATTCAAAAGGTCGCGTGAGAAATCCTTTCCTGGAAAAATAACTATCGACAGATCTGCTGAGAAAGCAAAAGGTATGCCCAGTTCCTCTCTCTTGTTAGTGTTTGGTTTGGCACGCTGTCTCAAATGCATTTCATTTCCAGCAGAGAAAAATGCTCTGGAGCAATTCTGTGTAGATCTTACTGCCCGTGCGAGTGAGGGCCTTATAGACCCAGTAATTGGCAGAGAGACTGAAGTTCAGAGAATTATCGAGATTCTCTGCCGTCGAACCAAAAACAATCCTATTCTGCTTGGTCAAGCTGGGGTTGGGAAAACAGCGATAGCCGAAGGGCTGGCGATAAACATTGCTGAGGGAAATATTCCTGCATTTTTAATGGTGGGCTTTTCAATGAATCCATTTTTTTCCCGGGGATTCTTTGAACTATTTTGTAATTTAATATGCATCTCCTATATTCTTGTTCCACTAGCTGCTGCACCTACTTAACTAGTGGTTATTTGCTACATACACAGAAAAAGCGGGTAATGTCTTTAGACATCGGCCTACTCATTTCAGGTGCAAAGGAGAGGGGCGAACTAGAGGGGCGTGTGACTACATTAATTAAGGAGGTCAAAAAGTCAGGTGAGCATAGAATGGAAGTAAAATTTGGTCAAATTCTTAGATCATTGGCTTAGCTTGTGACATAATTTGCAGGCAATATCATTCTATTCATAGATGAGGTCCACATCCTTGTTGGTGCTGGTACAGTTGGAAGGGGAAATAAGGGTTCTGGTCTTGACATTGCTAATTTGCTAAAGCCAGCACTTGGGCGGGGTGAACTGCAGGTAATTTCCTATTCTGGTTCCATGCATTACTCTATGTAGTTGCATTCATAATGTCGGCTTTTATGGACTCTGCGCTTAAATTTTGTTCTTGTAACAGTGTATTGCATCTACCACCATGGATGAGTTCAGATTGCATATTGAGAAGGACAAGGCCTTTGCCCGAAGGTTCCAGCCCGTCTTGATTAATGAACCAAGTCAGGTGAATAATACTCTATGCATGTGTATGCTCAAGTGGGTGTCTAAGGCCCTAACAGATATTCTTGTTTCCTAAATTATATAGGCGGATGCTGTCCAGATACTGTTGGGATTGCGTGAGAAATATGAGTCACATCATAAGTGTATATACAGTTTGGAAGCCATAAATGCTGCTGTGCAACTGTCAGCAAGATATATACCGGATAGGTATCTTCCTGACAAAGCTATTGATCTTATTGATGAGGCTGGTAGTAAATCTCGTATGCAAGCTCACAAAAGAAGAAAGGAACAGCAGATATCTGTACTCTCACAATCACCAAGTGATTATTGGCAGGAGATTAGAGCTGTTCAAGCCATGCATGAAGTGGTAACAGTACTCAATGTTATACAAACTCTCTAGATTTTGCACGTCTTGAAAAATTTGAACTTCCTTATGTGGTCTAAATACAATAACCTGTGCCCCCTCCATAAACAGATCTTGGCAAGCAAGCTGACAGAAAATGATGATGCATCTCGTTTGAATGATGGCAGTGAACTTCATTTACAGCCAGCATCACCTTCTACATCTGATGAAGACGAGTGCGTATCTGCCTCCATGTTCCTACAAGGGCATTATAGTAGAATAAAGATTGTCTGAAGTCATAAATTTAACTCAGAAGTAAATTAACTTAAACTCTCTGATTTTTACTCTAGACCTCCGGTAGTTGGACCTGAGGAAATAGCAGCAGTTGCTTCACTCTGGACAGGCATTCCCCTTAAGCAGCTTACTGTTGATGAAAGAATGCTTCTGGTTGGTCTTGATGAGCAGCTTAAAAAAAGGGTCGTTGGTCAGGATGAGGCTGTTGCAGCCATTTGTCGGGCTGTTAAGAGATCCAGAACTGGTCTTAAGGACCCAAATAGACCAATTTCGGCAATGCTCTTCTGTGGTCCTACTGGAGTTGGAAAATCTGAACTAGCTAAAGCTTTGGCAGCGTCTTATTTTGGTTCTGTAAGTATTAATAAAATGAGCTGTTTTGCATTATTCATCCAAAGACGCGTCTCCAGTTTAAACAATTGAGTAGAAATTGTGGAACTCTGCGTGTTGACCGAGTTCTGGCAGCATAATTTGCACAAACAAAATCTTGCTCTTGTTAGGTTGTCTAAATTTGAGAAGAATTATGTAAGATAAGAAATGTGCTTCATCTTTTCATTCTAGATGCCTTAATTGTTTCACCAGACAGTCACCATGTTTTGCCACTGAAGTTATGCAATCCAGTCACTTCAGTGACAATGGATAGGTATTGGTGATAGTACTGGTGTTCTCAGGACTTCCTTTGGTTCTGATGTTCTTGGGAATTTTCTATGTTGTTGGTAGTGGTGATACGTGTAAAGAAAGTATTATACTATGATAGTAAGATGTGGTGACTGTGTTTTAGGTGGTCGAACACACATAATAAAAGCGAAAAGAGAGAAGGAAAGGGTACTGGAGGCTGTGCTGTGTGTCCATTCTAGGTTTCTATGGCTATTGCGGCATGGTCAAATGTAGAGTTGGAAATACCACCAATTAATCTTGTTGGAACACGACTTCTGATTAATGGTGGCCACTAATAAGCACTTCAAGTTTAGACATACTAGGTAGTGCTCTATTACTGGCTTATTTGAAATCTCTTTCCCTGTTGCCAGGATCAGATCATTCCATCATCCATTTCAATGGGAAATGAAGTCAAGCATTGTATATATATCTGATAAGTCTGTTACATTTACTAGATCCTTGCATCTTCCACCCCTCTCAGCCCGCCCCAAAAGAAAGAACAGGAGTCTCTAATCACCTATGGTGGAGGCACGTAATTTGGCAAAATAAATGAAAAGTACTAAGTGAGCATTGATAATGGATCATAGTCATATAGTTATCACTGCTTTTAATCTTGTCATCACACTGAATTCGGATCTCTTGGTCCTAGACGGTTTGTGACTTCAGTAGAGTTTGAATCAAATCAAATTCTTCTGAACGACATCCTCTGTTCAACCTTCTAGATGAAAATTGTGGCTAGGATTTTATCAAAAAGAATTTCATCATCAAGAATTATGCATCTACTTTTCTTAGAAGTTCATCATCAAATTGCTAGAGTTATATTTGCTATCTTCGGTTCTGTTTCAGTTTAACGACCACTTGGTTTTGTGAATTTCTATGTACTCAGTGAAGTATCTTTTTGTGTTGCACAGGAATCTGCCATGCTAAGATTGGATATGAGTGAATACATGGAGCGACATACTGTGAGCAAGTTAATTGGATCGCCTCCTGGTTATGTAGGCTATGGAGAAGGAGGAACACTTACTGAAGCTATCAGAAGAAAGCCCTTCACTGTAGTGCTGCTAGATGAGATTGAAAAGGCTCATCCTGACATATTCAATATTCTCCTTCAGTTGTTTGAAGATGGTCACCTAACAGACTCTCAGGTTAGATCCGTTTTTACATCTGGCTTATTGTTCTAGAATGTTCCACAAGATGGGGTGTAAAACTTATTTTGGAAGATTGGCGTTGCTAATTATGAAACTTGATTCAACAGGGAAGAAGAGTGTCATTTAAGAATGCCCTGATAGTGATGACTTCTAATGTGGGTTCTACAGCCATAGTAAAGGGTAGACAGAATACTATTGGCTTCTTGCTTGCTGATGATGAATCAGCAGCCTCCTATGCTGGTATGAAAGCAATAGTGATGGAAGAGCTCAAGACATATTTCCGCCCCGAGTTGATGAATAGGCTAGACGAAGTAGTAGTATTCCGTCCTCTAGAGAAGCCCCAGGTTCGTATAATATACCTCTAGTTTGATCTGATAACTCAACGGACATTGGGGTGATCTTTTATTCTGTCATATCTCTTTAGAAAGCAGTTGGCTGCTGTGAGTAACTGCTTTGTTTTTTCCGTTTCAGATGCTCCAGATACTAGACCTGATGCTGCAGGAGATAAGGGCTAGGCTTGTTTCACTGGAAATAAGCTTGGAGGTGTCAGAAGCAGTAATGGAGCTTATATGCCAACAAGGATTTGACAGAAACTACGGTGCACGGCCTCTTAGGAGGGCTGTTACTCAAATGGTTGAAGATCTCCTGAGTGAATCTTTACTTTCTGGGGATCTCAAGCCGGGTGATGTTGCTATAATTAATTTAGATGAGTCTGGAAATCCTGTTGTCGCTAACAAGTCAACCCAGAGTATCCATTTGTCTGATGCGAACGGAAATCCAGTTGTCACAAACCGGTGAAGCCGGTGGATGTGTGTTGTAAGGTATAACAGTGCGATGCAGCTCCCTGTATATGAGTAAATTTTTGTATAGTTTTAGATAGCTGATTCATACATGTAAAGACATGCCACAAAATTCTTTCAACAACGTATAAACTCTTATGATCGTCATAATGTATTGATGATCATGCATTTAACCCTACAAATTTTACTCTCCTAAAAAGAGAAAGAAGCTAACCATAGTCCACCTTATCTTTTATGAAGATAGAATTAGTTAATCAAGTGAATAATGAGACTTCAACTAAGACGGCTTTGGTTGTCGGATATTCTTTCTATGGAAGATGTGCTTGGTTAATCATCACGAACTTTCATTTAGTTTATCAGAGGGAAAGAAGAGAAAAAAGAAAAGACACGACTAACCAAACTTTTTTTGTTGTTGTTGTTTCTACATTCTCTCTGATCCAACCGACAGTAATACAACTTTGACACGTCTTTCGACATTCATTCAGATTCTCACCTGATGCTTTCAAGCTAAGATATAAACTTGGCAGCTACTCAGTCTTTTAAGATCAAAATGCAAGAAAAGGTCTTAGTACACAGCAGAATACAATGGCTTCTGTTACATGGATTAGTTAATCCCTATCTCTAAAAAAAGAAGAGCTCCTCATCCGCAGATCAACCGTGCATGACTGGAGGCACAGTACTGGCATCGGAATGCTCCACCTCACAAATGGTAAACCCCGGGTGTCTACTCCTGAAAGAGTAAAAAGCAAAAAGAAAAAAAAAAAAGGCAGAGGAAATTAGGCGACTTAAACAGTACAATGCAGTTTTCTGGAATACATTGTGAAAGTCAAAGGGCATAAACAAATAGACAGGTCTACTAATGCAATTACGTGTTAAGCTAGATGGTTTATTTAACAAGGGGTGATTCTCAAAACTTTGGCTCACTGTTCCAAAATTTAGGCATGCAACAGTTATGTAACCACGTACGTTGACCAAAATGATATTCTTCTTGTAAGCTAATGCAAGTACCAACTACCAACCAGTTCCAGATGATAACCCAGAAAACTTAAACAACAGGCAGTATAACATAAAAGAAAAGAAAGACAAAGTCATCAAGTTTTATAATAGAATAATTTGCACCTGCTCCATATCTGTAGGACCGTCAGTCTTCTGCTCAGGTATATTTTCCTCCTCCGTCTTGTTAGCTTTATCGTCGCCATCTGTTACCATCTTGTCTTCTTTGGCGTCCTCTTTTTTAGCAGCAATATCGTAATCACCAATATTTAGATCTGTGGGAAGCTGGCCAGACCTCAATGCCTGCACAATTTTACACGTCACCATAAGTTTCCCAAAACATATTAGAGAAAGGAAGGGGATATGAGCAAGGTCTTCATAAAGGAAACAATTGACAAATATACTAATTTAGTAAATCAAAACTTTATGTATCACCTGTTCAAGTCTGGCAACCTCCTCCAGAGTTTGGGAATTCACAATGGCAGCCTGCACATGCAAAAAGAAACAAATTAATTGAACTAGCCAAAAGGAAAGGACTGTTCTATTCACTTTTGGAGTGGTCTCTTTTTCACAAATCCATGAGGAGAGTTATTCGGCAGGGTTCAATCTACTGGGTGCGGTTCCATAGTCATGAAAATCCATACTTAGACCAAATTTTACCAATAATGAGAAAAGCTTACAGCATCAAGACCAATAAGTGTAAGCTCCTTCTAGCCTCTCTTTTGTAACGGTCCATTGATGTTGACACAAAAAATTCAGTGGACATGACGTGCTCCTATAAAATAAAAGAGCTAACTAGTTGAGCTCTGACCTACAAGTCACTGGAAGAGTCTGATGACTTCTCTTACAAGATTCAAACAAACAAGTAGGCCCTATCCACAGAAGGTACTGTTCCTCCATGACTCAGTATATAGTTTTCTTTCTAATGTTCTGCTCTATTATGACCAAATATAGTGAAGATCGCTTTGTTAACCACTGTTCTCAAAAAACATTTCATTTTAGGATTGGTTGTGTTGCTGAAACTAGTTGATTTGTGAGCTTTATATGGGCAAAGTGTTATTCACAGAGCTGTACAAAGGGAGTACTGTTTATTGTGTG